GTTGAAGACCAGTCTATTCTTGCCATTATGGCTTACCATATGGTGTGGGATGTACCAGGCCTCACGACCTTCGTCAGCTGGTGCTTCAGGACCACACTTGATGACAGAGCCTGCCTTGATCAGTTTCTCCAGCTCCACTCTGTAGGCTGCAGCCTTACAGGGTCTTTGGCCAGTCGCCGTTCCATGCCTCGCAAGGTGGGCATAACGGCTTCTTTGGTAGCCTGAAGCAGCGGCATGTCCCTCCGGCATAGCAGTGGGGTGGCATAACGGAGTATGCCCCTGACCTCTACCCTGGTGGTCTTGGTCTCGGATCCTGATAGCCTCCTGGTCTTGCTTTGAGCGGGTGACGAGCTTCTCACTCCTGAATGGGACCATATCGACCTGCCATAGTCTCTCAACATGTCTCATCAGTAAATGGTAAATGGACCTGTACTTGTATAGCGCCTTTCTAATCTTCCGACCACTTAAAGCACATTCGCCCTTTTGCACACATTCACTCATGTCATCAATGCAGAGTGAGATGGTCAGGTCATCTCACTCAGGCCAGGATGAGGCAACACACAGGAAACACACTCTACTGCTGTTTCCTGTCTGAAAACACTGAGACTATTCTTTAGCTGTGCATCTGTGTATGAATGTGTTAGTGAATGTGTGTGAAAGGATGAATGTGGCACGTAGTGTAAAAGCGCTTTGAGTGAGTTAGAAAGGCGCTATACAAGTACAGGTCCATTTACCATTTGTTGCATTATTTTCATGTTGCTATTCTAATAAATTCATTGTTGCATCGCAGTCAGTTTGCCTCAGTTTAAGTAAAAATGGTTAAGGATAAAGATAGAGGGAAGATACCTATATGTATCTATAGACTGTAGAAGATAAATTCTGTGCAAAGTCAAAGGAAGGGTTTTAAATCTAATTTTAACATTTAAGCCAGAGGTTTCCAACCTTGAGTTTAACATACAGTCTTCTTTTCTGACAAATTCAGCTTTCTGTACTTCTTTTAATGATGGATGAGGTTGTTTATCAGAGAGGGAAGGCTCTGTGAATATAGCTTGTGTTCAAAGTTTAAATCTTAAATAATAATCTAAACTTTACTGTGTATCTTTTTTAAGTTTATCTTTTACCCCTTAAAATTAGGGACATGAGTATTTACGGAATAGATCTAACTTTTTTCTGATGAGCTGCTTTTTGATATTTATACAGGTAAGCTCTACTAAAACTTAAACGTGAACTGTTGAGTTTCAAAACACCAACAGTGAGACACTCCAAAATCTATTTTTTGAATATCAAATACTCACTCCATCAGCTTGAAATAATCATCTTTTCAACAAAATATGGTTACAGCTCAGTGTATTTACAGCAATGTGTAGGTAAACATGCATGTGTGGACTGACAACTTTTTTATAGATATTATTTCTGTCACAAAAACAGTAATATAATCTATTTATACAGCATTACCACCCTAGTTGTTTAACAGTAGTTATGTTAAATACCTTGTATCCACCAAGGAGATTATTTGGTCCTGTGCTGGAACTTACTTGAAATTCTGTAAATTTCATCCTTATCCCTATACAAAGCACTGAAAACTCCCGATTGAACTGGCTGTCATCATCCATCAGTTTGTATGTGTTTGCTCTATGGAGCTCCTGCAATGACCACATACCATACATCAAGTGTCTTACTGCTAAAATGACACCTGTAGGTGACCTCTGACCCCAATTCTAAAAAGTTCAGCACCAACATTTTTTAAGAGCTCTAGGGAGCCAGATTTAATAAATGTGACAATGAACTCCATTCTTCCCTACAACTTGAACTGATTCCATTCAGTTCATTTATGGACTGAAGTTACAATAGTACAGCAACAATTCCAAATGTTGTTTTCAAAAAGTACCTACAGTTATCATTTAAAAAGATCAAGTCATCATTTATAAACTGCAGAGCCTGTGGTCTCTCCTTTTGTAGTTTTCTCCCAAATCACAAAGCTTTTAAATGCAGATACGACTATTAATAAATCTCTATGGTTTTTACTGAAAAGAATATAATAAAATGTACTTCTGCTGTCGATGGCTAGCCTACTTAGGTTGGAAGATTACTATAAAAATGTAAACCACTACAATCACTAATTACCTGTTGTAATTAAAAATACAGTCACTAACCTAATCCAGGTATCATAATATTGAAGTAATGTAACTTGATTACTTTATGTTACTTTAAGATTACCTCAGGGATTTCAGACTGCCAATCTTGGGGGCCATTTCTGGCCCTCCACCCCAGTCCCTCTGGCCTGTGACATCAGGTCAAAACTATATTATTACTATTTTATATTTATTATTATTATTATAATATTTTTTCTAGTTGTTTCGTATCAATTTAAACTAACTTCTCTCCCTTCAAATACAATTTAAATAAAAGCACAATTCTATTTTTAAAAATGTATTTTGTGGAGTGCAAAATAATGGCAAAGGTAAAAAGTGCAAACAATTAATAAGAAGAGAGCAGGTTTCAGCCTTCATTTGTGAACAACAAAGATGATTTAAAATGATGCCATAAAATGTATAGAAACTGCAGTTTGATTTTTTTAATATAATATAAGTTTAAGACCACTGTGATCTGCAATGCCCCACTGGTTTAGGACCTCAACATTAAATAGGCCTACATAATCTTTTTAAAATTCCATTAGCCCTACATAAATGTTCTTTTTAGCCTTTTTAATATTCATGGGGTGTCCAGAGTATTGACTATTGTTTGTTGTTTTTATCTTTTTTTCAAGAGGAAGGCCTTGTCTACTGCAAAAACCAAATCTACCGATGGGTACAAGTACAGTAACCTAACCTTAATCATACACAATCACATAATTTGTAAATGGATTGGACTTCACATTGTCCTTCTAGTTTTCACCCATTCACACACATTTACACACTGATGGCAGATGCAACTGCTCATCAGAAAATAACTAATTCAATTTAATTTCAATACAGTTGTATTTGTACAGCCACAAATCATAGCAAAGGATCTCAGGACACTTTTCAAACAGAGCAGGTCTACACCGTAGTTCTCACCATGAGCAAGCACTTGGCAACACCAACAAGGAAAAACGTCCTTTTAATAGGAAGAAATTCCATGTAGCCTTACTGCAGAGGTGCAAGTTTGATATATATCAATATTTCCTTGGAAAAGCAATCTTCCAGAAATCAAGATATTTGAACTCAAAAACATTATTGCGGCACATCAGTAAAGCACTGAATACAAATATCTAAAGGTTGCATTAGAAATCAATACAAATTTTACAAATATTTCCAAATCTTCAGACATTTTTCATGTCTTTTTCATTGAACCTAAGCCTTTCACTGAGTCTAAATGTGTCCATAACAGATCATTAATTTAATTGTGTTAAATTATGCTTTTCAACACGTTATTTTAAAATTGTATCTAAGTTAATGCATTTAACAACAAACTGGGGTGGCAGCTGGATTGGCCAGGCGCCCCAGTGCCAACCCCTCTAAATTAGACCTTGGCCAACAACCTGTTACATGTGCAACATGAATAAATACATCTTTGAAAAGTATTCTGTATTCTCAGTATTCTGTTAATTGTTTCAGAAGCATAATTCCCACTAACTATACTTACTGTGCAGTGTTGAAGTGGCTCATTGTAAACTCGGCTGCAGTGTAGCTTTAAGAAGGAGGTGGGCAGCGCTCCGATGACGCAGGAATAATCCTGAAAAGATGCTTCAAAACTCCAGGCCGGAGCCAGCGTGTGTGGTGGCTGCTGGCTGAGCTGGAGGATTCGCCGAGCCTGGCTAGATCAACTGTTGAGAGAATATTTAGAGCAGGTTCAGGAGCCTTCGGAGGAACTCTCGATGTAGAATAAAACTCACACATTTAGGCAGATTCGCTTCTTAAATAGATTAATAGAGTTATTTACACTCAAGCCATTTAGTCACAGCGGAGGGCTTTCTGTTTGCAGCTCTGTGCGCACTGCCAAGTGGAGCCAACTTGGGGAAAGAAAGATTTGAAGAACATCTCTCCAACACTTTGATTTATCTGAAGTGGGGCTTGGAAAATCGCATCATGTCATATTTCAGCACACTGTGTGTGTACTTTTTGATGGCCCTCAACCCAGTTATGACAAATACCATCACCGAGGACATAGATGTTTTGGTATTTTTGCCACAGAATAACTCCTACCTTTTTTCACACACGAGAGTCGCACCGGCGATCCTTTACGCACAGCAGAGGCTGCAGGCGGACGGAGGACGTTACTCCGGGTTCCAATTCAACATCCAGTTTGAGAACTCCGACTGTGTCAATGGTGCTCTGTACATGTTGGTGGACAGGTCGTGTGGGAATAAGCCAGATTTGATTCTGGGTCCGGTGTGCGAATACGAGGCGGCAGCGGTGGTGAGGTTGGCGTCCCACTGGAACATCCCCGTGATCTCAGCAGGTGCCCTGGCCGTCGGCTTCAGCAACAAGAACGCCGAGTACTCCCACCTGACCCGCATCGCTCCGTCCTACGTGAAAATGGCAGAGACCTTCAGCGCGATGTTCGAACACTTCACCTGGAAGAGCGCACTACTGGTCTACGAAGACAAGGAGGAGCGGAACTGTTACTTCACTTTGGAGGGAGTCTATCATCTGATGGCTGACTTTAACATGAAAACATATGCTTTTTCCCACGAGGACCGCCTGGACACTGATGACATCCTCCAGAACATGTATGACACTGAAGGTAAATGCAGGTTTTTACTTTTGTTTGTGGCCTCAATGAATTGCAGAGTTTATATATAAACTACTTATAATATATCATACTCATAATAAGTCATGTATCCTCCTACTGACTAATAAACTACTGCAAGAATCAATTATTGTTAACTTATTCCCCTTCATTGCATCATTAATTATGTAATTAATGTAATCTGAATGAAAACCAAACTATTTTAGGAAAAAGTTAGTTAATTTGCAAACTGTGTAAAAGTAAAATAGACAGAGCAGATGAGAAAATCTCTCACAATTTAATCACAAACAATCACATATGATAGGAACAAACTGATTGACAAAGTCATGAAAAATTTAAGCAACAGAATAAAGCCGCAGTGACATATGAGAAAAAGTATACAGTATGCAGTCTGTAGGTACCCCAGTCAGTAAGTCACTTTTAAAACCTAAAAAGAAGACTCATGTAGGAGGGGCTGACACTGAGAAGAACACTGCTGATGGGCATCCATGTTTTTATTCGTCCTCACTCCACTCGCACCCTTCATCACTTAGACTTATGTAACATCCTGCGTGCTGCTGACATGGATCATCATCTCATTATCTCATGTCTACAGACTGCATGGATGAGCCACATGGGTCAGTTGCTTGAAAATGTTTAGAGGACTTTGTAACTGGCAGACAAAGAGCAAGTTAACAAAATGGGATGCCCTCTGTGTGACTTAAAGCTGTGAGTGATTAGAGGTCTAACAGTCACACTGTTTTGAGTACACTGTCATTATCTTATTCAGTGCCTAGCTCAGGACTATAAATGGGACAATATGAAAATTTCAAGCTACTATTATCCAGGCAAAATAATTTCCAGGAATGAATATGAATGTAGGGATGGGACGATATACGATGCTATCGTTTAACAGGAATAAAACAAACACTTGCTTAATTTCCATTATCATGATAATTGTGAATATCTTCACATGGCTTGACTTGAAAAAGCTGTCTTACTGTCCAGCATAGTCCGATATGGATTTCCTGATTAAATTTAAAAAAGGAGCCTGCATTTTTCCATTCATTCCAAAATCCTGTCACCATGGCTTGCATGTTGTATCCCCCACAAAAAAGTGTGTAAATATAGATATAGATTAAAGCTGCAAGCAACGATGAACGGGCCCTCGCACTCCACGCAACTTGGGGTGTGCTGCGGCTGCGTCACGTGCCGGCATAACACGTGCGGACCACAATATGAAAATTTCACGTAAATTATATAAAAAATTTCACGTAAATCATATCACAATCTCGTCACAGCGCTTACTTCCTGATGCCAGTAGGTGGTGCTCTCACTATATCTGAATATTGTCAGGGCGGGACTCTTATCAAACATCTGAAGTTTCATTAAGATTGGACCACGTACACTAAAGTTCTTCCTTTTTCATGGCGAATCATCAAAATTGGACGCCACGCCACGGGCACGTCGTTCAACGGAATGTCATAAATGGCACAACTTTTAATGTCTTTCGATTGTGCTGACTTAAATCTGAAGTTGATCCAATAAATAGGAGAAGACTAGGAGAAGTTCGTTCAAATACAACATGTGCAAATCGCCGAAAATGACCACAAAATTCAAAATGGCCGACTTC